GAAGGACTGAAGGAGAGAACAATTCAAACCAGATGTTACCTGCTGGAATCTGGTTCCTCTGATGATGGGAACCAGCTTTCTGCTTCACAGGACAGTTACTGGGACTGGATCACTGGAATGACTGGGTCTGGTTTCTCTCTCCAGAAGTCCAGAAGACAGAATATCAGCATCAAAAGAAGGAGAGAGCAGAACCTCCAGGATCCATCAGTCCATCTATGAGGAGTGACGAGTCCAAAGGAAACAACCCAAAGTTCAGTGATGAACCTGGATCCTCAGACAGAAAGTAAGAAACCAGTTTCTAACTGATTCATGTGAATCTATAGAGATAAAATATAAATGATATGAATTGGTTGATCTCAGTGTTTGAATAAAAAGTATTTTTTATTGTAAATTAATTTAAAGCTGAATAAACATGAAGGATGTTGGTCAGAAAATCAGAGTTTGAATGAAGGTCTGAATGAATCAATGATGAAAATGTTGCATGAAAACAAAACCAACCAAGAATGTGAAGAGCAATGGTCCAGTTTATACTGGGAACACTGGGTCCAGTTGATCCAGGTAGGCTGATAACCTGGCCACGCCCACTGAGCCTCAGCAGCTCCAAACAGAAAGGTCAAAGGTCAAAGCGGCTCCAGAGGACTGGGCTGGACTTCTGGTTCTGAGGTTCTTCTTCCTGGTCGGTTCTTGGGTTCTGGTCTTTCATGATCCACATCGGCTCTTCAGACCAGATGAACAGCTTTAGTTCTGATCCTCTGCGCTCCACCTTCTACCACTAGATGGCAGCAGTGAGACTCTTTGCAGTGCATTCTGGGTATTGGACTTCTATCAATGGATACGATAGAAGAAATATAATATGATCAGCTCCATCAAACTGGAACATGAGCCTGTTGTTCTGCAGGTTCTGCTGTGACCCAGAGAAAATGTGCAGTTTGATCCAACAAATCAGTCTGAATGTTTTATTCTGAAGCTTTAAGCCTTCTGCTTCTCTGCAGCAGTTTGTGTTCAGATCTTCTTCTCTGATTTTTATCTCAGTTTCTCACTGATTGATGTGATTTGAATTACAACATGTTTGTGTTTCAGAGGGCAGAACCACAGATGGAGAGCAGAACCTCCAGGATCCATCTGTCCCTCCATGAAGAGTGACTGGTCCAAAGATCATCCTCCAGTCTTCAGTACTGAACCTGGATCATCAGAATCAGAGTAAGAAACCATTTTCTAACTGATTCATGTGAATCTATAGAGATAAAATATAAATTAACTGGTTGATCTCAGTGTTTTTTAATAAACAGTAACTTAATTTTCTTACTTATTAATTTAAAGTTAGACCTGAAGGATGTTGGTCAGTAAATCAGTTTGAATGAATTAATATGGATTAAAATGTTGCATGAAAACAAAAACATGTGAGGAGCAACAATTCAGATTGTCTGTAAACCCACTGAAGCAGTGAAACCAGCATCTTCCAGACTGGGAACACTGGCATCAGTCATCATACCAAATATAATTCAATGAAGTGCTTAAAACCAGAAATCATCAATGTTCTGAGGTTCTGTTCTGACCCAGTTTCTGGTCCCTGGTTCTTTGTGGACCTTCATGAACATGTTCAGCTCCAGCCTGTTGCTAGTGAAATTTCAGTGATGAAGAAATGTCTTCACAGGAGCAGCTTTAGTGAGGAGGAGCTTCCATCCTGCTGTGCTTTGGGTCAGAATGTTCTGATGGATCCGGGCTGTACCAGCTGCCCCCAGTGTGGGAAACGACCCAGAACAAGATCTGGACTGACAGCCAATCAGAGCAGCCGTGCTCCAGGTGAGACTGAACATGTCCAATAAGAGCTTCTTCCTTCCAGGGCCACGTCTTTAGTTGAGATTTGGACATTTAAGGATTAAAAGTCTTTTTGTGGTCAGTTGTTTCAACTGAATCTGACTTTTTTTCAGCTGGTGTAACTGGAACTTATGTCTCTGTAACTCGGCTTAAGAAAGTCCTCATTTAATTTGACTCTGTTCAAAAAATGGCCACGAGATAAATGTACAAATTATAATACAAATTTGAAACAAATTTGAAACACAACAGCAGGTTCAGACCTGAGGAGCTGATCAACAGACTCTGAGGAGAATCTCTGGATGGAGCAACAGGAAGAGTTGATCTTCATCACGTTTGTCTCTCAGATGTAAATTAATCCTGTTTCTGTTTCTGCCTGCAGAGGAAAAACTTTTCAAGGTTCGTGCTGACTTTGTGAAGAGAGTTTCTGAGGTACTCCTGAAACGGCTCCTCGATGACCTTCTATCAGATGGGGTCTTTATGCATTCGGAGATAGAAGATATACTGCAGAAGAACCAAACCAGAGCAGACAAGGCCCGTGACACCATAGATGCTGTGATGAAGAAAGGACAGAGAGCCTGCAGGTTGATGATCAAACATCTTCATCACAGGAATCTGACTCTGTCCAACCAGCTGGGTTTGTCCTCTGACTCCTTTGGTCCAGGTGAGACAGCCTGAGTTGACAAGATTTCAATTTGTCACCACAAAAAAAAGTTAAATAAATTAATCTGCTGAATGTATGAATAGACAATGGATTCTCGGTTCAGCTTGTTGAATATTAATGAAACAAAATGAAAACTAAATTCATTTGAATATGTAATTACTATGCCATATTCAAGTTTAGAAATTCATAGGTTAATATGGATTATGAAATTTTTTGATGAAAAGGTTTTGTACAACTTGTACAGCCAACAGAGATAAAATGAATGGTTCTGTTGATTTACTTCAAAATGAAGAGAAGCAGCTGTGGTGCATCAACACTCAGCGATGGAGAACCTCCAGGTTCTGGTTCTGTTGGGCTCAAATAGAAATTGTTTTATAGAAATTAATTGCTGAGCCAAACATAATGATAAAACTCAGATCAGCTGATTATGATGATGTATAAATATAACTACATTCTGACACTTGAAAGCCCTTTGAATTTAGGTCATAAGTAAGAAGATGTAAACCAGTAGCCACTTGTGAATTTCATTTCTTTTACATCCAAAGGAAAAATGTGAGAGAGGAAATACTATTTATGGAGTTGTTTTTGCGAAAGGATTCATGGCACCGCCCTGGGTCAAACTGACTTGGTGCTCTCCCTTCCCTTGCATACGAATCACAAAGTTGGACCAAATGTGACTTGGGAAAAGATGTGGTTTGGACAGATAAGAACACCAATCTGTGATGAATTGGCTTATTCTGCAAATCTGAAATGGAGCAGATGTTGAGGTCAAGAGGTCCCAAATATTCTTAAGGAGGTCCAACACACAATCAGTCTAGGACTTGCCAGGATCCTTACATCAGTCAAGGGTTGTAATGCTGTTGGTTGAAACTTTCCAGCTCACATCAGGAAAGATGAGATTGTATAAAAAAGGGTGATGTTAGGAATATGAGGAGATTTTTGTTTTTTGTACTGATGAAGTTGTAAGACATGTCCATGTAAGAATGATAAATCTCCCAACTCGCCATGGCCTGAAGCAGCAAAGAACCTGAGTCTGGAGTGCGTTATTTCCTTTACGTGTGTATATATATATAAATATAAGAGTTTAGCCACCTTTCTATTCTCCAACAAAAACAGTTAATATTACGTAGTTTGGTCTTTCATGTTTGTGCAAATGGCAGCTCCGACAGAACCCTGACACAGTCGCATCATTTCTCTCTTTTTTATTGCTTTCTGTTCCTCAGAGTAACAAATTCAAATCTTGAATATATTCATATCAACTTTGATGTAAATATTCCAAGAAGGCATGAGCATATATACAATCATAGAAAGGTGGTTAGTGGTTGCAGCATGGTCACTACAGGATAGATGATTGATGTGTTCAAAGCCAAAACATTTACATAGAATATCAGAGGAGGCGTATGTGTTACTGAGAATCTCTTGAGCTTTAGGTGCAAAAGAAAAAATTTTGAATTTTTCATCTTAAGGCTTTTATCACATCTGTTAGTCTGGTTCAACCTTCAACCAGAAAAAACCGTGAAAGAGTTTAATGATCAACTAATTCAAATCAGCTCTGTTCAGTAAGAACCAGGTTTATGGTTTTTCTTACCATGCAGATTTTTTATCAAATTTGAGGTTATTTATTGATTTACTTTTTTCTCATTCATTAAAGGTGATGCATAAATCATCTCTGAGAATATAAAAATTATTGTTTTCCTTATGTTCAGCTGAAATGTCTCATCTCCTGTCTTTGTCTCTTCTTTCAGATTTTGATATTCGGTGTCAACGTGACCTTAAAGAGTCTCTGAAGATGAAGATCCAGAGTCTCTCTGAAGGCGTCGCTGAACTTGGAAAGAAAACCGATCTGAACCAGATCTACACTGAGCTCTACATCACAGAGGGGTCAACTAGAGAGGTCAACCAGGAACATGAGGTCAGACAGATTGAAACAGCATCCAGGAAACAAGAAACAGTCAGAAGAGAAGACATCTTTAAAGTCCCACCTGGAGGAGATCAACCAATCAGAACAGTGATGACCATGGGCGTGGCTGGCATTGGGAAAACACTGTTAACACAGAAGTTCACTCTGGACTGGGCTGAAGGCAAAACCAACCAGAACATTGATTTTATATTTCCATTCACCTTCAAAGAACTGAATTTACTGAGAGAAGAAAAGTTCAGCTTATTAGAACTGATTCATGAACGTTTCACTAAAACCAAAGGAATCAGAAACTTTGAATCGTTCCAGGTTCTGTTCATCTTTGATGGTCTGGATGAAAGTCGATTTAATCTGGATTTCTACAACAATCTGATCCTGACTGATGTTACAGAGTCCAGCTCAGTGGATGTTCTGCTGACAAACCTCATCAGGAGGAAACTGCTTCCCTCTGCTCTCCTCTGGATAACCACACGACCTGCAGCAGCCAATCAGATCCTGCTCAGTGTGTTGACATGGTGACAGAGGTCAGAGGGTTCACTGACCCCAGAAGGAGGAGTACTTCAGGAAGAGATTCAGAGATGATGAAGAGAAGGCCAGCAGGATCATCTCCCACATCCAGAAATCCAAAAGTCTCCACATCATGTGTCACATCCCCGTCTTCTGCTGGATCACTGCTAAAGTTCTGGAGGATGTGATGAAGACCAGAGAGAGAGAAACTACCCAAGACTCTGACTGAGATGTACATAGAGTTCCTGCTGGTTCAACTCAACATCAAGGAGGAAAAGTATGATGGAGGAAAAAAGAGCAAATCTATCTGGAGTCCAGAGAACAGGAAGCTGATTGAGTCTCTAGGAAAACTGGCTTTTGATCAGCTGCTGGAGGGAAACCTGATCTTCTATGACAAAGATCTCACACAGTGCGGCATCAACATCCAAGATGCTGCGTTGTTCTCAGGAGTTTTCACTGAGATGTTTAAAAGAGAGAGAGGGACATGCGACGTCTCCGTCTACTCCTTTGTTCATCTGAGCATCCAGGAGTTTCTGGCTGCAGTCTACATGCTCCACTGCTTCACCAGCAGGAAGTCAGAGGAGATCAAGACGTTCCTGGGAGACGAATACAGAGAAACATCTCTAGATGAGTTCATGATGAAAGTCATGAAGAAATCCCTCAGCAGTCAAAATGGCCACCTGGACCTGTTTGTCCGCTTCCTTCATGGTCTCACTGTGGAGTCCAACCAGAGACTCTTAGAAGATCTGGTGGGTCAGACAGAGACCAGTCCAGAAACCATCCAGAGAATCATCACCAACCTGAAGAAGATGAACTCTGATACAATCTCTCCTGCCAGAAGCATCAACATCTTCTACTGTCTGGTGGAGATGAACGACGTCTCATTTTATCAGGAGATCCAACGGCTGCTGGATTCAGGAAGAAGCTCTCAGAGACTGACTGTTCAGCTCTGGCCTTCATGCTGCAGATGTCAGAGAAGGTTCTGGATGAGTTGGACCTGGAGAAGTACAACACATCAGCATCAGGACGACAGAGACTGGTTCCAGCTGTGAGGAACTGCAGAAAGGCTCGGTGAGTCCAGATGTTTTCATTGTGTGATGCTGATTCAGCTCTATTGTCCTCCTGTTTCTTCTTCTGTCTTCAAGTTGATTCTGGATGTTTTTGCTCTTTATCTACTTCCTTCATCCTCTGGATTATTTTTCATAAACTTTTATTTTGTTGTTTTTACAGTTTCAGAAATATAAATACTTTGAACATTCAAACCTCCACTAACAAAAGCTGCAAAGTATCTTGTTGAACAAAGACAATTAAATAATAAAACAATAAAACCCAAAGTGAGAACTTTCACAATAAAACTAGATGATTACATTGATCCTCCAGTTGGTTCCAGGTTCAGGTTTCTTCTCTTCCAATATTTTATTGATCAGCAGAAAGTCTTCATGACAGTCAGTCTCTCCACTGGATGAATTTCCTTAATTATTTCCTTCCAGTCTAATGTGAATGTTCTGATCATCATCATCATCATCATCATCAGTGTTGCATGTTATTCGCCCAGGAAAACATGAAAACATTCTGGGGAGGAAATTTTACATGTTCTCTGATGAGATTAAAATAAGTTTGTGTCAAACTGACTGTCTGTTCGTGTCTGCTGCTCCTTTGTGGTGTTAATTTAAAAACTCAGCATGCAGAAGCTGCTGGTTGCTTATCTTGACTCAGAGCATTCTGCTAAAGAAACCAGGTTCTGCAGAGCAAGAGAGACGTTTTGTAAAGCAGAAATATTAAGTAGGGAACTGGTTACAGGTCTGAGAACAAACACAAAGCGTTCGGTTCCCCATGTACACTCAATCAATCAATCAATCAATCAATCAATCAATCAATCAATCAATCAATCAATCAATCAGTCAATCTGATTGATTGATGTACACTCACTGCTAAGTTAATGATGAATATTCATGAATATTTATCTTATGCTAGTCGACACATACAGTTACATTTAGCTATCAAGCTGCAGCATTTATGATGCTGCACTATGCTGCAGCATCATAAATGCTGCATGCTGTAGCATCATAAATGCTGCAGCATAGTGCAGCATCATAAATGCTGCACTATGCTGCAGCATTTATGATGCTGCAGCTCGTGGTAAAAATGAGTCAATTTTTTAAAATAAAGTGTTTATCAGAAAACCTAAAGATCAAATCAGGATTGATTTAACACCAGAGACAGAAAAATAGAGCAAAAGGTGATTTGAACTGCAGTTGGAACAATTATTGACAATATATACAGGGGTTAAAGTTCATCAATAACTGGTTCAATCCTCCATTAATCACAAACACTGAAAAATAAGTTGATTAAATTCATAAAAAATGTCCAAATGCTGATAAAGATCCAGTTCAGTTTCACCAAACCAAGAACCAAAGTACTGAAGAGGGAGTTGGGAAAGCATTTATTGATTTAATATAGATCAGACATTGACTCGATCAATATCTGCCGATAACAGATATTGATCAGTTATCGGCGTTTGATTCATCAATTTCAACCTCAAATGATTCGTTGACACATTTTCAACTTTGGTTCTGACTAGAATTGGATGATTGTTTGCTGATTGATCATTGATTATGGACCAGAAATCAACCATTCTGACTATAATCCATCGTTGACGTAGCATCCTGTGCTATCAGGTCGGCTAACTCCGGGTCAGTTAGCGTTAGCAGTTAGCGTTAGCAGCTCATCGTCTGGTCTTGTTCCTTAATAGTTCCTCCCATAATGTTGTTGTTCTCTGATGGATCAATAAAAGCAGCAACGTGGCGATGAGGGTTCAGCCTCGGCCACAGACCCTTTCCTGAATCTGATAATCCACATTAATCTTAATCCTGGCAGAATGTGATTCATACAGACTGAAACAACTATAATCTGATTATTAAAGCCAAATCTGTCCAGAGCTCAATAAAGATATTTCCAACACATTGAATCAAAAGCCTTTTCAGCATCTAAATGACTTTATTGATTCTGTTTAACCTTTGACCTGTGAGGTCAGGAGCCCACGTTGTCATGGTTTGAATGTTGATGATAAAACCAGATTAAATCTGATCTGTGTCTGTAATTCCTGGGATTATAATATTTATCCAGTGTTGCTGCAGTGATCCTGTAATCAATGTTTCAAACTGATGTTGGTTTATGAACCACATCCAGTTTCATCTTTACCAGGTTTAGGAATCACTGACATCTCTGCTCTGATCCAAGATGGCGGCGTTTCCCCTCCACAAAGTTCTGATCAAATCAATCCTTCAGCAGCCGCTCTGCCGGGTCGCCTCCTCACCTGCCGTCTGATTCCCTTTCAGTCTTTAATGACTTTATTGATCAGTGATTAGTTGTTAGTGGATGATTTGGATCTGTTCCTATCGATGGTGAATCCAGAGCAGCAGCAAAAACTGCATGAGGCTGAGAGCAGAACTGAGTGGAGGATCATTCAACAGATTCTCATGTGTTTTAGAGATCGGTGTCTTTATCTGTTGGATTTTAATTTATTGATAAATCTATTAGTATGCTATCGGTTTCTTTGCTTTGATCTATTTCCATAATAGTTGAGTTGAATAAATTTATCCTTTTCCTCCATCTGGTTTCATAGAAACAGTTTCTCCTTGTTTCTCTGATTTGTTATTATTATTATTTTCCATACGTTGTATTTGTAGAGATTTTAGTTTTCTAATCTTTTAAACATTTCTCTCTTTATCGTTAGAGAACCAGATAATTACAGTTTTTGCTTCGTCCCATAAAATCCAGGGAGAAAAATCCTCTGTGTTGTTCTGGTTCAAATCATCTTTGAGTCGTTTTTTCTGAAATCTGTTACATTTAGTGTCATTAATAAACTATAATTATTGTTGATTCTCCACAGGGTTTCTTTGGTTCATGACCCAAATGGAGTCAGAAACACTCTGCATGATCAGACGTCTCTCATCTGTCACATTTTATGATTCATCCACCAAAACATGATTCATAAAACAGGATTTTAATATAAATGTTTCTGTCTGCAGTGGCGGAGCTCGACTTTTTTTCAAGGGGTGGCCAAAGGGTGAGCAGGGCTTTATCACAGGGGTCCATATACAAATGATGGTCTTGCGCTGGTCCGGCCCGGGTCCGGCCCTGGTCTGGCCCGGATCCGGCCCTTTCCAGGCCCTGGTCTGGCCCGGATCTGGCCCTTTCCAGGCCCTGGTCTGGCCCGGATCCGGCCCTTTCCTGGCCCGGGTCTGTCCCTGGTCTTGCGCTGGTCTGGCCCGGGTCCGTCCCTGGTTTTGCCGTGGCCCGGCCTTGGTCCGGCCCGGATCCGGCCCAGGTTCGGCCCGAGTCCGGCCCTTTCCTGGCCTGGGTCTATCCCTGGTCTTGCGCTGGTCCGGCCCGGATCTGGCCCTGGGCTGGCCCTGGTCCGGCCCTGGTCTGGCCCGGGTCCGGTCCTGGTCTGGCGCTGGTCCGGCGCTGGTCCGGCCCTGGTCCGGCCCGGGTCCGGCCCGGATCCGGCCCTTTCCTGGCCCGGTTCTGTCCCTGGCCTTGCGCTGGTCTGGCCCGGATCCGGGCCTTTCCTGGCCCGGGTCTGTCCCTGGTCTTGCGCTGGTCTGACTCGGGCCAGGCCCGGATCCGGCCCTTTCCTGGCCCTGGTTTTGCCGTGGCCCGGCCCTGGTCCATCCCAGGTTCGGCCCGAGTCCGGCCCTTTCCTGGCCCGGGTCTATCCCTGGTCTTGTGCTGGTCCGGCCCGGATCTGGCCCTGGCCTGGCCCTGGTCCGGCCCTGGTCTGGCCCTGGTCCGTCCCTGGTCTGGCCCGGGTCCGGTCCTGGTCTGGCCCGGGTCCGGCCCTTTCCTGGCCCGGGTTTGTCCCTGGTCTTGCGCTGGTCTGGCCCGGGTCCGGCCCTTTCCTGGCCCGGGTCCGTCCCTGGTTTTGCCGTGGCCCGGCCCTGGTCCGGCCCAGGTTCGGCCCGAGTCCGGCCCTTTCCTGGCCTGGGTCTATCCCTGGTCTTGCGCTGGTCTGACTCGGGCCAGGCCCGGATCCGGCCCTTTCCTGGCCCTGGTTTTTGCCGTGGCCCGGCCCTGGTCTGGCCTGGTCCGGCCCGGATCCGGCCCTTTCCAGTCCCTGGTCTGGCCCGGATCCAGCCCTTTCCTGGCCCGGTTCTGTCCCTGGCCTTGCGCTGGTCTGGCCCGGATCCGGCCCTTTCCTGGCCCGGGTCTGTCCCTGGTCTTGCGCTAGTCTGACTCGGGCCAGGCCTGGATCCGGCCCTTTCCTGGCCCTGGTTTTGCCGTGGCCCGGCCCTGGTCTGGCCCAGGTTCGGCCCGAGTCCGGCCCTTTTCTGGCCCGGGTCTATCCCTGGTCTTGCGCTGGTCCGGCCCGGATCTGGCCCTGGCCTGGCCCTGGTCCGGCCCTGGTCTGGCCCTGGTCCGGCCCTGGTCTGGCCCGGGTCCAGCCCTTTCCTGGCCCGGGTTTGTCCCTGGTCTTGCGCTGGTCTGGCCGGGTCCGGCCCTTTCCTGGCCCGGGAAAGTATATTTTAAAATGACCATTTCCAGTGGGTTGGCAGTAGGGGTGGCAAGGCCTCTGTTGGGGGTGGCAAATGCAATCCCTGCCTCCCCTCTGTCTCCGCCTCTGCTGTCTGAGACGTTTTAATTTTGCTGGAGACCAGAAAATGATTTTAGTGAAAGTTCCAGTTTCATA